GAGCCCATGGAATTGGTAAACCCTGGGACAGGAGGTACTGGAATGTTCAGTCAGTCAGCCTGCACAACAGCACCATCAAGTCACAAGTAACAGGGATCCAGCGAATGACTGCAAGAGGCAATGCAGACACCAAAGGGCTCTATATAGGGGCTGCAAATCCCAGACCTCACGTCTCAGTCAACCAGCCAGCAGCTCTCAGCAGCCTGTACGTTGTAACAAAGCCACTCATTTTCAGAACTTGATCCCTTCTTCTCAGACTTATCCTGAAGTTTCCCTGATTAAGCCTGTGGTTCCAGCTGAGCAAATGTGTCCTGTGGTTTTAATCAGTCTCGCCTGTGTCCTGCAGTTTTAGAGCACCACGGAGACTATTTCCTTCACTCACTCCATACTTAGTCTTAGACATCGGCTGTTCAGAGACGAAAGGACTCAGTACCTGCTCCTCACGGAGCGTCCAGAACTTGTTAAAATTACTTAATTACTGTTGTAACAGACACCAGGGACAGAGCATCCTAAGTCAGGACAAATCTTCAGAAGAGGCAAACTCGAGCTTAGGAAGATGTGAAGGTCAGGAGAAGCGTAATCATGATGAGTTCGTTCTTGAACCGGACAGCTGCAGGTATACAAACATGGGAGCGTTCTGGGAGCTTATACATAACTGGAGTATGGTTAGAGGGCTGGGGATGTGGATCAGTGGTAGAGCCTTGCCTAGCATGAGCTGAGTTTTAACCCCCAGGATTACTAAAAGTAAATAAAAATGTAAAAATTTAAGAATAGTTAGAATTTATCTAACGTAGTAGCCACTAGCCACAGGTGGCTGTTGTACATTCAAGTTAAGGCTAAAATCAGGCATGGTGGTGCATGTCTGTAATCCCAGCACTTGGAGACTAAGGCAGTAGAATTCAAAGCCATCCTGGGCTACAAAATAAGTTCCAGCCTAGCCTGGGATACATAACAAAACTCAGTCTCAAAAAACAAAACAAAACAACAAAATGTACATGTGATTTCAAAAAGAAAGTATCTCAATAATTCTGAATATTGCTAACATATTGAAATAGTACTATTTTGGGTTTTATGGTGTTAAATAAAATATTCAAATTAATTTTGCCAGTCTTCTTTTTTTTTTTTTTTACATTTTTGTTTTCTTTCTTGCTTTTTTTATACTAGAGTTTGAACAACTCAGAGCACTCTACCACTTGAGTTCCCAGCCCTCTTTTTACTCTTTAAATGTGTCCACTTGAAAATTTTTAAATGACCTGTGTGGCTCACATTCATCTATCAGAAAGTTCTGGTTAACATATCAAATTCTAGGTTAAAGCTGGTTGTGGTGTTGCCTACCTAAAAATCCTAGGACTTAGAAGGCTGAGGCAGGAAGACCCTCAGTTCCAGGCCAGCCTGGGCTACATAGCAAGAGCCTGTCTCAAAGCAAAAACAAAACAATACTAAGCTGGTAAAAACATCTCTGTTGACACCCTTAACAAGTACCTGGCCATCAGCATGGTGATGGTCACCATCACCGCTGGATGTCACCACCAGAGTCACTGCTGAGTTCAGAGCACAAGGCTGAGTGCTGCTGTGGTTCGGGTCAGGGTTCCCCAAAGGCCTGCATGTTAAAGCCTTATTCCCCAGAGCAGTGCTATTGAGAGGATGTGGTATCTTTAATTGGTGGGGCCGATGGGAGGCCTTCATGTGATTAGGGATATGTCTTTAAGGGGATTGTAGGACCCTAGCCACCTCCTTTCCCTCTCTCCCCACCTCTAACCATAAAGGTCCAAACATTCCACCATAAAGTGCTGCCAATCACAGACCAAAACCTCCAGTTTTCTGTGAGCCAGTTTTCTGTTTGTAAGTTAATTATATCAGGTATTTGTCATAGTGATGGAAGCTTACACAAGTGCCCAATAAATAAAAATAAAGAGAGGCTAGATCCACAGAAAGAACCAAATCTCTAAGGCCTTGGACATCACCAAGGGAGTCACTATGACCGTAGGGGTTTGAGGGAGGAAATATCAGATGTGCCCTTTGGAAAGTTACTGTGGCAATAGTGTGGATAAGAAATGAGGGCAGAGATTAAGACCAGACACAGGAAACTCATGGAGGCAAAAATGAGACAGTCAGTGAGGGACTGACTAGTCACCTTCAACCACTGAATCTGTTCTCAGAGGTTCTCAGTCTTCCCATAGGCAGTCTGCAATGAAGCCTCGACCTTTTTTTTTCAGATCAACATTTTAAATTCAGAGGATAAAATACCCAGGATTACAAAGAAAATCAATTTCAGTTGTCCCTTTGTGTCCCCAGAGGATTGGTTCTAGCTCCCCACCTTCACATCCAAATCCTCAGATGTTTACAGCCCTCAGATAAAATGGCATAGTGTTTGCATATAACATATCCTCCTATGTACTTTAAATTATTTCTAGGACACTTACAATACCCAATGCAGTGTAAATAGTTGCTACACTGTTGTATTGTTTAGAAAGTAATGTAACAAGGAAAAATGTATACCTGCTGAGTACAGAAGTAGCCATTGTAGGCAGTACACATCAGCAACAACAAAGTAATTTTTTTTCCAAGTATTTCAATCTGCAGTTGGTTGAATATGTGCAAGGATACAGAACTCACAGACACAGAGAGTGCACTGTATTTTGAAATACAGTTATCAGTTAAGAAACAACATGTGTTCTTCTTTTGTTGACACTTTAAATAGCTGTAATAGCAGGTCTGATCATTACTGAAGTTTTAAAGTATTTATGAACATTGACAATATTTCCAAGGCTATAGTATTTATAGTTCATAAACACTGTGTTTCCAGCAATGGTGAGGGTGCAGGTACTGCTAATACCAGCCATGTGTTGCACACCCTGACACTTGAAGGAAACACTGTGAGTAAATATGAGGCTACTGAGGAGAAAGGGCCGTTTTTTTCCTATTCACGTTACTGAAGACCCTGAAATTTATTCAGCAACCCCCTATGGATCTGTGGAGTCCAGGTAAAGAAACTCTGGAAAATGTTCCTGGATTTTCCCTAGAAGTAATTAGTTAAGCCCTGTGTAAATTGGAATATGGAGGACTATGGTAACAGTCAGACACTGATTTACTTCTAGGGTTTATTCCTATGACCACACATAAAAGAGCACACCTACACCAAGACACACAATGACCCAGGAGACATCTCAGCAGAGAAATACTGAGTTTGCTTGAGGTATGATTAGGATCTGTGGGTTGTTTTTTGTTGTTTTGAGATAGAGATCTCGCTATGTTACCCAGGCTAGCCTTGAATTTCTGGGCTCAAGCAATTATCCTGCCTTAGCCTCCCCGGTGCTGGGACAACAGGCAACACCACCGTGCCCTGTTTATAATCCACATCTTTTTCTCCTTTTTTCATGGGACCAGGATAATGACATAGGAACAGGCAGAAGACTCAGAGGGGAAATAGTGTGTTAGGGCAGTCCTTTAGTTCTCAAGGGGAGGTTCATTCCTTACAAGGAGGCAGAATCTCTTACCCTAAGGAATTTTGTTAAAACACCACCACCACACAGGACACTTAGATCCTAATCCTGCCTCAATTCTTGCCAGCAGGAGAGCCTCAGACAGCGTTTCTTTAGGCATGGAAGGTTTTCTTTAGGCATATAAAACATTTTATTAACGATGAGGACCCGGCTAGCCACCATGAGTACACGTGTAGACCGGCTACTTGGGAGGCTGAGGCAGGAGGATCACTTGAGGCCAGGAGTTAGGGCCAGCTTGGGCAACACAGCATAGTCCTACCTATAAATAAAGAAACAAATTAAAACAAGGACATGCTTTCTTAAAATTCTTTTATGTAACAACTGGGCTCATCATTAGGATTCTGGATGTTGATTTATATAGACTAAAACAATAAATCCACCAAGAACATCGATAATAGCAAACACTTAGTGATCACATAGTGTGTGTTAGGCAGTAGTCTGAGAATTTTATAAATACTGACTGACTCATTTAACAATCCTATGTGGAGGCACTATTTTTATCCTCATTTTACAGATAAGGAAACTGAGCCACAGTGAGCCAGGAAGTGGCAGAGGTGGGACTTAAAATGGGTCATCTGAGCTGGGGGCCGAGCATGAGCCCTTGAGGCAGGGACCAGGGTTTCTACCTCTGAACCCCTCACGTGGAGAATAATACTGATTCATAATGAAGGAATCAGTCAACTACCACTCATTGAGCAATAGATTATGACAGACTTACTAGGTATTTTGACAAGTTAGCAGTCCTAAAGAAGAAAGAACTTACTGTCTGCTTCCTCTACTAATATAATTTTTTTAACTTAGCAAGCAGAGCCTTTATTGAGAAGACTACTGGAGGGGAGGAAAGAGGTGCTACTATACTAGGGAGAAGGTCAATATTGCAAGAGAGAAAATGCTCTGAACATAAGAGCCCTGTCTCTTCTCATCTTCTAGAAAATGATTAACACTGTTCTTCTATTTCTCACATTTGAAACTGGTGGTCCCTGCCCAAGACTCTAACCTACCCGCCACTTGGTTATCTCTCATACCCAGGATAGGTGGGGCTTAGAAAGAAGTGGGTCAGTTACTGAAAGGTATCTCAGACCAACAGTGAATTCTGGAAAGTGTTTTAAATCTAGGTATGCAGGGAAGGGAAATGGGGGAGGTCCTAAAAGTCATAAAGACTACCAAAAAGATTTTAGAGTAGGGGAAGGAAAAAATAAGATTACCAAGAAACCCCCAAAGACTACCAAGACAATCCCAAAAGCACCCAGGATGGGGAGTTGTCCTTCATGGCTTAACCATGGCTTAACATGTCTAAATATACCAGGCTTGGATTCAGCCCAGTCCAGAGCCACTGTCTCTCTGTTGAGGAACCACACACGACATCAGCAGTGTTTCAGGTGGAATGGAAGCAGACTTGTACTCCCCATGAAGCTCACTGGGCAATGCTGACGGAAGCTGCAAGACGAGGACCACACTGGGTCATTCTGTATTTCCAGTACAGCAGGGAGAACTCACCTGTAGGTGTACGGCCCCACTTCTTCTAGCCGGGGTTTCTCTCCTTGGAGGATCTCCTCTGGATTGGTGACATTGAAGAAATAGAACTGGGTATACACAGGCAGAGGGGGCCTCTCCCAGGAGTCAAAGATCTGGGTGCCATTCCTTAATACCATAGTCTAAGGAAAACAAAACAAAAGGAGAGTTAAAATAAATAAATAAATAAATATATATATATGGTCATTGGCTTTAAACATGAAACAGAAGGAAGAACACTCCCTACTCTAACTTCCTAGCTAGTTTATTTTAATTATTTCATAGTCATTCTAGAGAACATAATAATAGGGTTCACTGCCCTATGAAGCCATAGGTCTTCAATAAATAGTTGAGGTTAAGGAAGTATGGTGCACAAAATCAAAGGCCCTGTGGCTTTGTTAGTCTTGAAGTTTCCATTGGTGGCACAGCTGCTATAGACTTTAGGCTCTTCTGGAAAGAGCCATGTAATCCCAGCTTGCAAGATGAGAGGACAGCACCAGTTTGGGTTCCTTACATTTGAGATGGAACAACATCCATCCCTACTAACTCCATCACCAGGGGCTTTATGTTCATTTTTATATTCAATCCCCAGAAAATCCATAAAGTAGAGATGCCTATCCCTGGTTCAATCCCAAAGAAACTGAGGTTAAGCGACTATGGTAGACTAACCTTTGCCCACAACCCTTCTTTCACTTCTACCCTTCCCAAGTGTTATAGGTTGAATTATGTACCCCTCCCACCCCAAATTCACATGTAGAAGCTGTAACTCTCTCAGTACCTCAGGATGTAACTGAATTTGGAGAACAGGCCTTCAGAGACGTGACAGAGGTTAAATGAGGTCATGAGGGAGAGATGGGATCCAATATGACTACTATCCTTATAAGAAATTTCATGGTGGCCCATGCCTGTCATCCCAGCTACTCAAGAGGCATAGTAAGAAGATCCTCATCCAGGCTGACCCCAGGAAAAAAGGGTGAGACTTTATCTGACAAAGGGCTGGTCCAACCTCAGTATTGCCAAAGAGGGAAGGAGGGAGGGGAGGGAAAAAGAGAAGAAGGAGAAGATGGAGAAGAAGGACAAATTAGGCCACAGACTTACACAAACCAAAAAAAAAAAACCATGTGAAGACACAGTGGGAAGGCCATCTACAAGGTATGGAGAGTGCCCTCAGAAGACACCAGTCGCACTGTCAAAGGACAAAATCATAACAATTTAAATACCTTAATTGGCTTTATTTGCCATAAGTTAGAATAAGTGAGGAGGTTGGTGTTATAGACAGGAAAAGACTAAAGAAGCAAAGAACAAAACCTTGCATCTCAGTACTTGGGAAGCTGAGGCAGGAGGATCAACAGCTGGAGGCCAGCCTGTGCTACATAGTGAGACCCTGTATCAAAAAGCAAAAAAAAAAAATTCTAAGAAGAAAAAGTGGATTGGTCATTTCAAAGTTACTTTCCTGTAAGCAGGGATGGAGAGACAAAAATAATAGAAAAATATATAATTGACATCATCTTACTTCCAATTCCCTTTTTTTCCCCATAAAGATTAAATCAGAGGGACCTCATTATATGGATTGAGACTAGCCTGTTTGAAAGGTTTGGTTATCTGTCTCTTGATTTCTCAGGTCAGATAACTTAGTTTCAGTTTGGTGGAACTTTAGTGTGAGTGATTGCATTTTGATTTTTAGTCTGGTCTTTTGGGGACTAGTCTCAGGACTACAATGGCCTCCTGTAATTTTTATTTAACACTGCCATCACCTTGATCTCAGACTTCTAGCATCCAGAACTGTGAGACAATAAACGTCTGCTGGCAAAGCCACCAGACTGGTATTTATTATGGCATCCCTGGCAAACAAATGCTGCCCTACCCCATGGCAGGAGCACCCTCTCACTTCAGGCTTGGCTAAGAGATGAGATTTGGCTAACAGAATGTGGGTGAAATAGCAATGAGCCAATTTGAAACTCAGACCTTAAGAGGCATGGTAAGAGTCCACTGGTCATCCTGGAGATGCCACCCTCTGCCACAGATAGCTGTTGATCTTTCAGCCTACATCCTAAAATAGGAGCACGTAGGCTACACCTGAAGCTGACCAGAGAAGCCTGGCGTGAACCAAGGTTCTCTGAAGAAGCTGCATCTATATTAAAAATTCTGCACATTAAGACATTAAGATGTGCCGAGATGCACTGTTGTGGATTGACAGCCAAGATTATCTTGGGCTATTTTAAGCCCTTTACTAGGCTTCACTTTTGTATCTGATCTAACATTCTGACAATTATGTAAACGGAGATAACGTCTGAAACCCATAGAAGAGATTTTCCCCTCTGATATTCCCACCAATGTCATTTATTTGGTAAGTGTATTGATTTATAACTTTCTTTTTTTCTGTGACTATAAAAGTTCATGTAACCTCTTCCACAGTGGAACTTGTCATTCAGGGCTACCTTGAACCCATGTTCCATGGCCACTTATGTTTGGCTCACAATAAACTATTTCCTCATTTCTTTTAAAGCAGAGTTGTCATTTTACATTGACACTAGTTAGCTGAGCCAGTCAAGCTCACAGTGCGGTCAACTTACACCCTCACAAGTATGAAACTGATGATACTGGTCCAAGGCTTGGGATGGGGCTTGGGAGCTGTTTGTTAGTCACCATTGCTGCAAAAGCCTGATAAATACAGAGGCAGAAGTTCTTAGTCCTAACAGTCCTCAACATGTTAATGGAGAAAAACCTTGTGTTTTCTTTTCTCTCAGTCTTCCTTTCCTTCACCCTCTCCCTCTCTCTCTCTCCCCATTCCTCTGCCCCACCCCTCTTTCCCGCTCATACTGGGGTTTGAACCCAGGGCCTCATGCTTGGTGAGTAAGCACTCTACCACTCGAGCCATGCCCCCAGCCCCAAATCTTGTATTTTCATAGTGAAAGTTATTGAGGGACACAAGAACGATAAAAGCACAGATGGAAAGTAAACCAGTGCTCATTTAGGCAGCATATATACTAAAATTAGAGTGACACAGTGAAGATTAGCATGGCCCCTGTGCAAGGATGACACGCAAATTTATGAAGCATTCCCTATTTAAAAAAAAAAAAGAAAGTAAATAAACCAAAATGTGAACCCTGATTAACTGAATATTGTGAATTTGGATCACTGTGATTTTCTCCTCGGTGAGATTTTGTTTTTTCCAGCTTTACTTACAATGAGTACAAAACTTCACGCTGAGAAAACAGGAGAGGAAAATGGGGTTTACTGGTGGCCACATTAGGCCCCAAGTGAGACAGTAAGACCCAGACTGCAAGCACGGCCGCCCATGCTACCCTCATCGCTCCTCTGACAGTGGAGCTTAAGTGACACCACACAAAGGAGCCAGCTTTCTGAACTTGTTGGGAACCACTCACTAAAACCAAACTGTGACAGTGCATGTGACAGGATATCAAGTTTGCGTAGTCCAGGCCCCCACTTGTTTTATTTCTCTGTTGTATTGTTCTGTGAGACAGGGTCTCGCTGTATAGCCAGGCTGTCTTTAGGCTCCTGAGTACTGGCATTACAGGTGCATACTACCACACCCTCAGGCCTGTGAATACATGAATGCAACTGTGGAATAAATGAATGTAGAAAACTAGGCAAGTCGAAGCCTAGTTGGGTGCTTTAAGGTAACATTTGGAGATGGCAGGACATTCACAGCCTCAGGTTGGCCATTCTGCAGAGCTGGGGATTACTTGTGATTAATGTCCATCCATCAGGTATCTATCCAAACAAAACATTGCTGAAATATTCTTGGTCTTTACCACCAGTACTGATTTGAGTTTCAATCAGATTGAAATGATAGGAACATTTAAAGACAAATCGGGGAATCCCTTGAATTTCTCCAGCCTCCAAGGTCCCATTCACAACTCTCATTTACAAGGCTTCCCACCTATTCCCCAACCCTGACGGTTCCCTGCCCAGGCACAGAGAGACTTAACCAGTCATTTAAGGCAATTAATTACCTAAGAGCTTTATGATCTTTTATCTCATCTCCTAAACACAAGCCTAAGCTATCTGAAGGGAGGAAAATGATAGTCAGTTTAAGCTCAGAGTGCAAGAAAACACCAGAAGTCAGGGGTGATGGAAGCTACCTATAATCCCAGCAATTAGGAAGGAGAGACAAGGTCTTGAGTTTGAGGCTAGCCTGGGCTTTATAGGAGATCCAGTCTCAAGAAACCAAGGAGGGGGTTGGGAAGGGAGGGAGGGAGGGAGGGAGGAACATGCTCAAGTTGAAGCAGGAAGTTTAGCCCTGGAGGCTAGCCAAGTTCATTTCCACTTTCTGATTCTTTGGGGTTCATTCTGAGGTGATTTTCTTTCACAAATAAGGTCTCTAGTCCTTTCTGACTCTAAATTCTCTACACACTATGAAATTCATCAATAAAAGTGAGTAATGAATACAGTGTGCCAAATCAACCATCTTGGCAGAGGAAAAGAAAAGAGCAGAAGCCCAGTGTAGGGTGGGGGTTGGAGGGTGGCTGCTTCTGGGGCACCTGGAGGACAGATGGCCCCAGCAGCACTGCATGAGGCTCACCTTTGTTCTGCAGGAAGACAGCAGAGGCCATGGCGACTTGGCTCTCTTTGTTTCCAGTTCTTCTCATTCCTTTAGGATCTATCGATATTTTTTTGTTTTGTTTTGTGGTGCTGGGGAGCAAACCCAGGGCCTCTGTGCCATATCCCCAGCCCAATAACATCACATAAAATCTGATTTTCCCTTTCAAAAAAAAAAAAAAATAAGGGAACACTTTTTTCTGCTTACAGAAGTACTTTCTTTGTTGCTTAAAATTTTCAAACAATGCAGAAAATCAATAGGACGATAGGATGAATGGAAGACATTCATGCTCCTAACCACATAGAGAAGTGCTATTAGGCATCTAAAGTAGCTACACGGAAATTTTAAGAATAACTAAAAATCTTTCAAGCTGGGGGTGATGGTACACACTGTAATCTCAGCACTGGAGAGGCTGAGGCCAGCCTGGGCTTCATAGTAAAACCTGGGAGATTAACCAGGTTCATTTCCACTTTGATTCATAAAAAAAATAAAAAATATATTTTTTAATCTCCTTCACACTTAAGCCAGTTTAGCCTTCTAAAACATCTCTTTCCTGAGTCAATTCAACACAGGTAGTGT